AAGCTACTATAAGTTTTTCCCATGCTAAGTAATTTTGTGAATCCTTCACCGTCAATGCAGCCGGCTCGGCTGCCAATTCAAGGTCAACAGCAGCTGCAGATGGTGGTGAAGGAGGTGGCAATTGTGGTGTACATCTTGCTAACAAGGGGAAGACCTTTGTCACATATTTGGAAAGAATGTATGCCTGGAAAACCTTTGCCATATATGAAATAGAAAAAGATAAGAGGTCGGGCCTCTCACGAAGTAGCAATGGCCATATTTTATATTTTGTTTTACTCTAAATATTATCAACTTGTTATATAGAATGGACTTAGGAGAGGGGCTATTGAGTTTTTGTTAGATAGAACGCTATATATATATATATATGTTGCTCAAGTCAACGAGTCCCCATCCATTCCAGGAAAGAAAGTAAAAGACTGGGCGGCCGTCTGTGAGTTGCCACCCTCTTCGATCCCACGCGCATTGTCGAAACTTCCTATACATTTCATTTCCATAATGGAGCTAACTGAGCGGTGGGGGGCGGCGGGGGTAGGTTCTGTTCACTTTTCAGGGCTGGACGGCTAGCTACCAGTGGAAACCTTTGCTACGTTCTATGACTTCTATACATACAAAGACCAAAAAGTCTACTTGACTTTTTTTTTAAATTTATTTATTTTTTAAAAATAAAAATTAAATCAAATATAAATTTTAAAAAATTATTAAAAGATAATTTTTTTAAAAAAATAAAATTTTTTAAAAAAAAGTTTTCGAAAAAGCTCTATTTTTTTAAAAAAAATATATAAAAAAATTATTTTTATTTTAAAAATATCTTCATCTGTTAAAAATAATTATAATATAATTCTCTTAAAAAAATATCTTTTACAATAATTTTAATTAAAATTATAATTTATAAAAAATAACTTATAAAAAAAATTTATCAAATAAATTCAGTTTAATTTTAAAAATTATTATTTTTCATAAGAGCTTTATAATAACTTTTAAATTAAAAAAAAAACTAAGCCAAACAGATTCTTAATTACAATATTTTCTATTTATAATTTTCTCAAATTATTTTGTAAAAAAAAATGAATGAATGAATGCATCCATGCCGAGTTCTATTTTAAAATTAGACTAGATCAATCAATTTTATGGATTGAGGAAAGATATGTGAGCTTAGCTTGTGTTTAATAAATCCTTAAAAATGATATGTTTGATAATTTATTTAAAAATTTGCCGTATGTTAATCAAATAAATATACAGACTTATTAATCTCATTTTTTTTGAAGGATTAATCTCATAAATATTATTGTCATTATTTTATTATATTATTTTAAAGGGAATTATTACAAGTATATGATAACATGGGAAATCTGAATGATTTATGTCGTAATTTGTTAGTGCTTCAAAACGTAGGCACAACCGGGTGGAGGCCAAAGGCCATAGTGGAGCTTTATTAGCATTTATCACTCCACACTCGGGGAGAAAACGCCGCATAGGGGAAGCAGAATTATCTCTTTTTGAAAAATAAAATAAAATGGCGAGCGCGAATCTACCATCTACTCCTCCTCCGCCATCACCCCCCTCCATCTCCGCCTCCCATTCTGAGTCCTCCGCCACCATTCCCACCGCTGTTGTACCCCCTCAGCCTCAGGTTGATGCTGCCGCCCAAAACGGAACGCTCAATGACGATGACCAAAAGCCTCAAATAGCTGATCATTTTGCGTGAGCTATTTTCTTCTACTCCTTTTTAAATTTGAAGTTTTTATGTGGGTTTGCTTTTTTTTTTTTTAACCTTTCCTTTTTTAGTGTTTAACTTCTCTTTGATAAATGTTGTATTTTTCTTTTACCATTTTTGTTTCAGTTTAACTAGGTTTTGTTTGCTCTCTTTCTTGTTTTTTTTTTTTTAATTGGCGGACTTTCAAATTTCAGTTAAAATTTCATTCAATGCCTCTTCTTACTACAAGCCGCTTGGAAGTAATTGCTTCTTATCTCTTTAAAGCTTGTAACACTGATTGTACCCAGTTTTGAAGCTGTAATTTCCCATTTAAGTCAATGATTGTGAAGAAGAAAGCATCATCTTTGAACTAGTAATTGGCTGTAATTGGTAAATAGCACCGAACTTTTGAAAAGGAAAAGGTAGAAGTGAAATCAATAATTTAGTGAAAAACAAAGTTGTACTATAACAAATAGTTGTGGCCATTAGGAGAACAACATTCCTGGGTGGTGTTTTGGCAATACTTCACAAATGCACAGCAATTCTTGAAGATAGCTGTTTCTCTGCAGTTGTAAAAATCATTGCAAGACGAAAAGCTTACATTTTGTTCACACAAAAATTGTTTAAGAAGGTTATGCCATTTTATGTTTATGTTTTGCCCTGCTTTTTCCATCCTCTATTTAAATGGAAAAGCATTTGTTCTGACTTCCATGACATGCTAGTTGGAATGGTTTTAGATCTGTCTTATCTCTGTTTCATTTGCTTCTTAAGTATGAATTCTGCTTTTGCTTAAATACGGTAGTATTTTAAGTTGTATGCAGCATAGGTCATTAGTTTGTGTGTTATTCTGGAGGCTTGATAATTCAGTTTGGAGCATCTTTTATTTAAATTATGTTATGCTGGTGTGGATATCCTAGGTGAGTTACTGACAATGTATTGGTGAATCATTAGTCTTTTGGGTAGTGTAATCTCAATGGATTTGCAGTTGTGGAGAATGCTAGGTGATCACACTGTGTATATTGTGAATTTTTTAGCATTTAATCACATGCCTGGTCACCAATAAGTGAATAACATTGGGCATCTATGAGTTATGAATGTGTTCAGGGTCCCAAGTTATTGTAAAGGATTGGTGGGTACTGTTCATGGATTGGTATGCAGCTGCAGATTTATGAATAAATAACAGTCTTGGCATCAGTGAATCATCAGTTCCTTGCCATTTGAGCATACCATTGCTCTCCAGTTCATACTATATTGATTAAATTGCATGAGAAGCAAATAACTACATATTTCAATTTAGAGCCATAGTATAAAGAGACCGAAGCACAGTCTCATAAATCATAATCTCATAATTTTTCTGGTGAATGAAGGCTCTGCCAAGACAAGGTCTGTGTAGCTATGGCATTTAAAGAGGATGAAACCTTCAAGTATTGTTAAGCCCGTTAAACAATTTCTTTACTGTGGATAAACAACATTAGAATGATCTGCTTCCTTAGATGTCTAATAGCAACTCTATTGTGCTTAAAAACTATTCATTAACCTGCCACCCTGTTAGAATTCTTTCTAAATTTCTATCTCCACTTCTAGTACAGCTCCATTCTATCTTCTTCCCTACAATCTCCCCAACCTCAAAAAATCTTGAAACATGCATTAACTGCTGGTGCACATGCCATAAACATGCACGTAAATTCACTCATATTTCAAATTTGCTTTGGCCATCTGCAGAAGAATAAAAATAATTTTCCTTGTTGTCTATGGGTCGCAATAAAGGCCTCAGTAACATGATTACTGCCAGATTCTTCTTTTAGATTGTCCTTGTTGTGCCGTTTAACCACCAATATATATCTGCACTGAGTGAATCCAATTCAACTTATTCCTTGTTTGATGATTGTTTGTGCACTCACTTGATGCATGGAGATGGAGAGGTCAGACATCTAAGTTACGGATATAAATGAACTTTAGGCTTCCTAGTGCAATTGGATAAATTGTGGAAATCACACTCTTAAAAGTAGTAGTCTGCATTGATCAACTAATTATATTGTGATGCTCAGTTGCAGAATTCGAAGAAAAGTTTCACTTGAGCGACTGGGACATATTTGAATATTTGTCATCACTATTGTTTAGCAGCAGTGCTAAATGATTTATTATTGTAATTATGCATATACAGTTACAACTTATTCATAATTTATACTGGCTAAGCATCAGATATGAGACCAAGATCGTGATGCTAGCAGCTTGCCACTGCTACAAAATGTTGATTCTAGAGAGTTTATATCAAACTTTGGAGCAATCTTGCCTACAGCCCTTTAATATATTTTATTTTCTATTAAATTTCCTTCACCTAAAAATTCATACAATGCATATTTGCATCAGGCCAATAAAAATTTTGACAGTGATCTCTAGCAGGACCTAAGTATAGCTTCATGTTGAACGTTGTTATTTGTTGCATGTGACGTTTAAGTTCATGATTGCAACTGATAAAATGCCCAACAAATATGGTGTTTTGGTCAACTGTTGGTTTGTTTCTGCATATGATGGAAAAGAAGAGTAGTTATCTATACTTTGCCTGACTTTAACCTGTGTGTTCAGCATTCATGCTATATCATGAATTTTCTTTGTATGGTTAAAGAATGATTCTATTTTGAGCTTGGCATATCTCAGTGGTAACATGATATGCTTTGATTTTGGTCAGGGTTCTTGATGATCCAGAACAGATTGAGAAGTACAAGAATTACGAAGCTGACTACACTCGTCGATTGATGGCAAAGTATTTCTCTAAGAAGAACTTTTATGGAGGTATAAATTGCTGTTAGTGTTTTGTTCTGCTTTGAACTTTAAATACTATTTGCCCATTAAGTGTGTCTATTAGGTGGATGAGTTGAACACGTTTTGTATCCTTTTATTCTTTCAGGCAACATTTTTGATGAGAAAACAACAATAGATAGTGAGACCATATTGTCAAGCAGGTAGGATGAAATTTCCTTCATCATGCATAGCTTAGAATGTCTGGTGCTGAATCATAAAATTGGATTTCTTTGAACAACTTTGTCTAGGTGGCCGTGCACTAGATCATTTGCAGACCCAGTTCATGCATTTGAAGACCAGACCAATGGTGGTTCAAATTCTGATGCAGAAACCCCAACTAACATCTCAAATGGGAAATTCCCACTCAAGAAGAATGGCTGATGGCACAATTGCTGGCATTCTCTCAAATATGGTACAGTATGTAAATAAGCATGGATAATATAGACCAAAAAGTTATTAGAAGTATTAAACCAGAAATTTTTTCTGGAATTTGTCATGTTCTGTTAACAAATAACATTCGCCAATGCCTATATACCAAATAGCATCAATTATCATGTCATATCCATTGCAAAATGAAAGGAACTTTCAAGCAATTATTTTGGGAGAGGGATCTGCTGACTGGTGAGGATGCAGGATTTGAATTATGAGAATAATCATGACAACAATGAAACAATGATATAATAATTGTTGATTTACAAGGGTTTTCACACGTTATGGAATAATTATAAGAAAATATTTTCAACTAGAATAATTCTTATAGGGAATTCATTTTCCTCTTTTTCAGTCATAAGATTACTGTTATCCCAACATTATCGACTGATCATGTGCGGAAAGGTAACCGCATAAGTTGAATCTGTTAGGATACTCTGCTCTAGACTACTTAAAATCTGTGCCTAACCTTGGTAACCCTTTTTAGCTGATGGCACCTACTTCACTGTTCTGGATTATCAGGTATGAATTTGATGAGCGTATCTTCTGGTCATGAAGTTCAGAAAGGAATGACCAACCAGATTGTGCACCAGATTCTATGGTGGTGCTCATATGCTGTCATGTAATCTGCTTCCAAGTTCCAAACCCGAAAATTAACCGATAATCTGGTTTTAGCATGTAATAGCATTTTTAATAAGACAATCCCGTCAATTTTGTACTAGGAAATTGTTTCTACATGTGCTTTGACAATCCCAAAAGAAAACCACTAACAAAATATCTGACAACATATTCTGTAGGAAAGTAGCAAAGCCATGTTTCATCTACCCTAAAGCGTTCAATTCATCAGGAAACCCATAAAACTTGATTAAAATGCCAAATAAGATGAGGGAAACCCTGAATCATTATTCAACCATGCCAGATTTCAGGTAACTAGCATTTAATCTATTGATGGCAGGTCCTCTCACACATTAACTGTAACCTTTTTGTTATTGCAGCACAGACTCATCTCCCAGCCTCATACTTGAGATTTTCTACCCTGAATTTCTCTATTCCTTCCACTCAACAGCTGAATGCACAAACTGCAATAATGGAGAAAAATTCTGATGAATATTATAAGTAGTGAAATAATCAAGTTTGAAGAGTTTATTACATGTATTAAACTATATATGCTTATAACTGTAATTCCCATGAGGCGTATAATGACTTCTATACATTAAATTACATGAGCAAAAGAAGCCCGTAGTATTGAGCTCCAAAACAAGTTTTCATCCATTTTAACCTCAAAAGTTATTGTTACACACTCCAATTTAGATGATACCTCTATTATTATATATGATATGTCGAGGATTAAGGAGTCAATCCAGGAAACTTGCAAAAGAGTCGATTGAATTGCGGCCTCATCTCTAAGAAGCTGATTTATGTTCGAGGGAGGTATCTTCCAGATTCCTCGGAGGTGTCAGCACATCGGCAAGCACCATGTGAAGGGTAGAAACTTTCTCTTTGAGCTGAGCATTCTCTTCGAGGATCTCGTGGTTGCTCTCCAGCAGATTGATGAGCTTTTGTGAAAGCTGACGATTAATTGTTTGAAGTTGATCAACCTGTGACTGGAGCTCTTCAATTTGCTGCTTCTTTCGCATTCTTGATCTTCGTGCGGATTCTCTGTTAGATATCATTCTCCTAAGCCTCTTGTCATCAACAATGCTTGGTTGGTATTCTCTTCCTTCATCTTCAGTACTGAGAGATGATGAGTCTGGAGAGAATAAATGGAATGGGAAATGGACTTGAGAGTTGAGGGACAATCTGCTGGAGAAATTTGTGCTGGAATCAGGATGCTGAGATGAGTTTCCGTGTTGCACGCTGCGGTTTCCAGCAATTTCCAACGACTGCATGTTTAGGTGAGCTGCTGCAGATGTGTATGTTTTCTGTGAGGGACAGAAGGCAAAGAAACTTTGAATTGAGGTTGCATGAGGTTGACTACGATGCGCCTCGAAATCAGGCGCTTCCATGTGGCTTGAATATTTAGATGGCTGAGAGAGAGAGAGCTTGAAGAAGGAATCAGGGCTTTAAAAGGTGATAATATAGCAATCTAACAGTAGTTTCTTGTTGTGCAAGCTTATTCTACTTCTTTTAAAGTGCAGGTTCTCTTCAGTCTGTCTTGTAATTCATTAATGATGCTTATAGGGTAGGTAGGCATATTAGAATTAGAATTTAAAGAAGGATGAGCAAGGGACAACACAAATTTTGACAGGTTAAATAAATGTGTGCTGCCAAGAGGAAGAAAGGTTGATACCTCTAAAATGTTTTGAGCAATGAAAATCATGGCCCCCTTGTTTTTTTTTTTTTAATCTCATTTGGCTGCTAGAAGTTGAAATTTTGATGCTTCCATGTCAGATATGTTAATCCTGAATATGACTTTCGGCAATAATGTTTTGCAGGACATGCTCTTTATCATGTGATGATGAGAAGTTCTATTTATATGGAAAATGCCAGGTATATTACTTTTAGGTTTAGCCCCTAGTATTCTCATTAGACTTTACTATCTTCTACTCTCCTTTTACTTGAATTGCCATCTATACTTCTAGATTCAAAAGCACTGTCATTTATACATTTTGACACAAGCAAATAGACATGCAAGCATGTAACTCAAACCTGACTATTTCTATCCAAAGTTGGGAAAAGTGAATTGGACAAAGCAATTATCACGACCAAAAATGGTCTCTTCCCTCGAAATCCTCTGCACAAATGCCCTGAAGGTGCAACTTTTTTCTATGCTCCAATGACTGGAAAGTCAATGTGATAAGGGTTGCAAATTGCAACTTTGGTTTGGTTTGCTTCTTCTAGCAAACAAACTCAACAATTAGACTTTATAAATGGAGCATGCTTACATCTGCGTCGATAATCATGTTTAATGTTAATAAACTCATTTAGTCTTCCATACAAAATTTATATAGTATATTCATAGTAGTAGGGGAAAGCTGGCCCCAAAGAAAAATCATTTGGGAATTGGGAAGCCCTGCCTATTTTTACAAGAAAACGTTTGAGGATTGGGATATCTGTTCTTAGATGAGGTAAATTTCCCATTAACGCTGCCTAAATTCAGTCGCAAAGCCAATAGCAAACAAAAGTAGGAATTTAGACCATCATCGCATATGAAGTTACTAGAATATATAGCCTTCTGCCTTTTCTGGAAAGTCCTTAATTTGTCCTTTATTTTAAATCATAGACGTGAACTACCTTGTCTTTACTGGAACTATTACGTAGTTTCTATTTGTCGAACACAATGGGCACACGTTAAGTAAGATTTTATAAAGAAAAAATAAAACACTTCATCTAGGGAAGGTGTAAAGAAGGAATGATGTACGTGGGTTTCAAGCAGAAGTTGATGGCATTTTCCGGTGACTTGTTATTCAAGAAGTATAATTACTAGAAAAGGAATGCGCATTTAAGCAAATTCCATTGACAGTTGCAGCAATGGAGAGGATGATAGTTGCTGCAGGTATAAATGGCTTGTATTGTATATATATATATACACGTTTTATTTGTTGAGAGGTTGGACTTGCTGGGAGGCAACAACTTTTGCCTTTTCTTTTTCATCCTTCTCCCTTCCTACGTGGATCGAAAACAACCCTAAAGATATCGGTATAAATAATCAAACTCAGTAACAAAACCATGTCATTGTAGTTGCAATATAATCCAGCTCACCATTTCCCTCCTCAAACCTTCTCCGCTACTACTATCCTCCTCCACAGCCGTCGTCATCCTCTGTCGGACAACACCACCAAAACCCTCTTTTCTATCTTCATAGATCGAAGCTTCAGATAAGACACTTCATTACGTTGGTAACATCTCCAGTAAATTTACAAAATATTAAAAAAGATAAAAAATAGAAAAAATAAAATCATATTAATACTTTCTTGATAACATATTAAATTATAATTTAATTACAACATATTTATTGCCAAAAGATAATGAATTTAAATATCCCAAAAATTATTATAAAAATTATTTTTTATCCTTTTATTATTTTAAAATGACCTTTTTCAATCAAAGATTGGTATTCTTGCTGACTAACTACTCCATTCGGTCTTTATTTTATTATAGTGTGGATGAAACGTATCCCTAGTTATTATGTTAAGCCACTGTAGTGCCTTGTAACTTAGAGAACCTTGCAAAGAAATATTAGTTTCACGGCATGAAACATAAAGACACAGAACCTGGCTACCTGTTTTGATACAAGTCTAGTTTGATGACCGCTTCCTTCTCACATGCTATTCAAACTGGATCATCCTTTTTTATTCTTAATTTATTTGAAAACTAGGCTCCAAAATATGCCAAATTATCAAACAATAATTGCACCAAAGAAAGGAATTAATTAACTAATTAAACGGCTGGCTGGCTTGCTGTACCGAAGTACATTGGTCCCTTTTCCGTAGAGAGCAAATTTCATTGGCTCTGATGCTTTGTAGAAGCCGACTATGTTCAGTCAAAAGCCAGAATACTGCCGATATCCATGAGTAGATCTGTTGTACTAGGTGATGACTGGCAGGACTCGATACTACGAGGAAACTGGAAGAACCTTTGCTCCAAGACCGACATGGTTGGATTACAACTTAATTTTTTATGGCAAAGGCGGACAGACTGGCGTTGTCAGCCGCCAGGTCGGTTCTAATACCATAAAGCACTCGCAAGCACCTTGATCGGCGAATTTAGACAAGCTGGAAAATGTCTTAGTTGACCACACTTCACTTTCGAATTGCCATTTACCTACAAGGAATAATCTAGCTACGACAATCAGAAATTTTAAGGACACAGCTCAGCTTTTGATGATCCGCCAAAAGTTTTCTTATCCATTATCCAAGATAACAACAACAAATATCACGTTTAACAATGGGCAAGATCAACTTGCTGCAACTTAAGACATCAAGTGAAACTACCAGGAGCAATAAAACCCACCAAAAGTTTTCATATTCATGATCCAAGATGACATTCACAACTACCAATTTTGGCAACAGGCGAGATCAACTTCCTGCAACTAAAACATTAAGTGAAATGATAGAACCCAACTACCATCAGGCAAATTTTTGCATTAAGAATAAAACACATCCTGCGTGTAAAGCCCATCATTGAAGCAACTTGGATAAAGCTTTTCAAAAGATTTACTTCCAACTCTCCAACAGAAGCAAAAAATATCCAGATAGTTCGCAAACCACTAAAACTGAGTAAAAAGAAGAGAACCATCATGTTCAAGGTAATTCAATGTGGGCATGCTCCAGCATTTTAATGAACGATTAAAATCTCAACCCCCTATTTTCTTTTGTCAAGTATTTCTTGACACCACCTCCCACAAATTTATTCTCATTGAGTTACATCATCAAATTCCCATGGGAATCATACATGCTTGACTAATTAAGAAAGAACCATGCATCTTTGCAGCTGATCTCTTCCAATAATCATCTGACACACTACTGCCAACTTGAATAAATTAACAAGACCCATTTCAATTCATTACATAGCTTCTTTGAAAAGTGACATCAGCAAAACTACAGAGAATATTGGCTAAAATTGAAAAGAAACAAATTAGAATAAATATCAGACTTCACATAACACGATATCCTGAAAATCATGTATTTGGGATAGGACAAAACAGAATTGAAGCAAAACAATATCAGTGACAGGACAACCACAGTCAATGCATAAATAATGGACAATTATTCCAACCAAAAAACCCTCAAGGTACAATTCAGTCATTGGACATTCTTATACCACACAAAGGTTAAAAGAACATATAAAATACTTATAAAATTGTGAAGAATGACATGATCCTCACAAAGACATATTCACTCTCTCCAGCAACAATATCTACATTCTTAACAACCTAGTGCTCAACAAAAAGCTTCAAAATCACATTTGACCATTAATTACCATTAGGGTGCACCACTAGCTCCTAGGGACCTCCTCCTTTCATAGTCCGCATCATCTGTAGGCAACTCATGACGACAAACAGGGCAGGTATTCCTTATCCCTAGCCAGGGTATAATGCAATCTCCATGGTAGCGGTGAGCACAAGGCAACTGTTTCATCTTTTCACCAAGGTTAGCCTCATCCTTACAAACTGCACAAAGCGCATTACCATTCACCTCATCCTCCTGAGTCACAACCACAGAAGGAAGATTCTCAACTACATATTTTGAAGCTGGAGGCCTTCCAATGTACGCGTTATCATTCTCAGTAAACTGTCCAAACAACATCTCATATTCTGCAGTATAGATATAGTCATCACGATCTGCAAAAAATGGCTCAGCATTCTCATCCATTTCAGGGTTTGTCTCCAAATTATTAGCACTCAACAGAACCTCCCACCCCAAATTCCCCAACCCAGCTGCCCTGTCAAAACTAACCACATCTTCAGGTGCAATAACAGGGGAAATGGAAAGCGAAACCGAGTTCTCATCATCATCAGCATCAACAAACACACTTAAAACTTCCCTCTCATCAACCCTGCCATCCACTTCCTCCCACTCAAAATCCTCATCCGCATCCCTACGATCCTCCAACTGAAGCGAATCCCAACAAAGCGGAATGCTAACACTTACATCATCATCATCAGCATCAACATCATAACCATCACTAACATGCTCATCAATTCCATAATCATCCCCTGAATTCAAATCGATAGCCAAGGCCCCATTCTCTTCATCCTCTTCCGAATCGGATCTACACCCCACAAGCCGAATGCTATCCCCAAACCTTTCAACCCCACTAAAATTAGAAGCAGCCTCACAAGCACTCAATCCGGAAACCCTCCTTTCCACGAAGAAATCGTCATCGTCGTCGTAGCCACCGCTAACATCAATCTCATTAGTATCCATAGAATCAAACCCTAACACTAATCCTAAATCTAGCTCATGACTTCCCTCAATAACACCGAAACCCGATTCGTTTAACGAATCAGAAGGCAAATCAACAGCATTGATGTCATCATCATTGTCGATAGTATTACCGTTGTTATTGGGGGTATTATTGGAAATCACCTGAGATTGCTCGACGCGTTGGTGGAAGAGATCGATGACGAAATTGACTTGATTCTCGCGGCGGTCGAAAAGATCGGGGCCGTTGATAATGAGGGAATCGGGGAGTGAAACGTCGTCGTCTTGGTGAGGGAGATCCGGATCTGAGGAAGACGAAGAGAAGAAGTGGATGTCGTGAGACCAATAAGGTAGGGAATCCAGGTTTAGGGTTTGCTCGTGGTGCTGCTGCTGCTGGTGGTGGTTAACGACGTCGTCTTCCGGGTCGTGAAGTTGAAGGAAAGAAACCGACGCCATTTTCCTCTTTTTTTCTGTTTTTGCTGAAATGGAAGACAGAAGTGAAGGGAAACAAAATTTAAAAGGTTGAATACTGAAAAAATAAGTAATTATTGTCGTTTTCATTTGGTACGAGAAGTGACATCAAAAGGGCCCGGGGGTGTGTTAAGAAATTACAACTCTGTCCTTATAATTTTGCGTATAGACCATTTTGTTTTTGTTTTTATTTACTTTTTAAACCATGAATTACCAACCATTCATTTTACTCGGCGAAAGTTCTATTTTATAGGAGTGTTGTTTAGGTTTGCTATTTAAGATTAGAGAATGAGTTAAAATCCCTTTTTATTAATATTATTAATAAAAAAATATTAAAATGCTCGATAGTCAAATCAGAATATCCAATCTTTACAATTATTACATGCCTACCATTTGTGAAAAATAGAAAATCAAACAAAATAATATTACCTTAGAAGAAAAAAAATTCCTAGTAATTCAATAGGGACAAACTTTGTAACTTAATAGACAATTATAGAGAAAGATACGTTCAATGAATCAGCTGTCACGTAAAATAAGTACAAGCCAAGCTAGCTTGTTGTGCTTTGATGGTCACTTGGAGTTCAAGGATTATACTGTAAACTAAGACAATGACATTTCTTGCTTTTGTGATTAATGAAAAACAACATACTGTGATTATTTTAATGGTTACTGCTTGAAGAAACAAATAGGCTGCTGCTTCTGAAATACACTTCTTAATTACAGAGACTAGAAGCCAACCCTTTTTTTTTTTTTGGCCTACCAACAAAGTAATGCATTTCTTCCCTACATTCTGACCCATAAATACTCCTAGGGTGTGCCTGATGATGCCTGTTTCCCCTTTCTCTTTTGCCTGAATTAGCCCATGTTTCTTGTGGAACTAACAGAACTTCACTGGGCTCTCGACTTCAAAAATGGATTAGAAGGACGGTGAGATTGCTGTACCCCTGTTGCTTCCCCGACCTTGTTGGAGGACTTGAAAAAGGGATTGGATGGACCCTGTGATTGTGACTCAGGCATCACCTCCTCAACCTTCTTTTCTTCCTGATTATTCGGTAACTTCAAAAATGGATTAGAAGGGCGTTGAGTTTGTAAGTTCTTCACCTCCTTCACACTATTCACCTGGCTAGGGCCAGCATTCTTCCCTGCGTCCTTCACCTCCCTGCTGTCCTCTAAGCATGCAGTTTGATCACCATCTGTTTTTGGCTTTCCAAATTTAACTCTATCTGAAGATTTTACTTTCTTTATAAGAAGTGGGGCTGAGAGTTTAGCTGAAGATGTTGACAAAGTTGGTTCTGAAATCTCACTTCTTTCAGTTGCAGGTAAGGCCATGCTGGCAGCAACATCTGTTTTAACGTTACGGTCATGATTTGATCTGGGGAGAGAGGTTTTTAAAACCTCAGTTTTACTTTGCAATCTTTCCTGTTCATAGAAAGGTATAAGAAAATACATCAGAATACAATTTTAGCTAGCATTTTTAAAGAAGTCAGATCTGTTTAGATAGAAGGACTTACCTCGAGTATGTTGTTGAATCGTTCTGCCAAAATAGGAAGCTTCAGAGCAGTGGCAAGCTGTATTGCGCCTCTCACTGATTTTTCAACTGATAAAAGCTTCACAAGTTCAGTAGCTCTAACAAGTTTGTCACCTGCAAGAACCGCCACAAACAAGTTTTAACTGGTTAGAATATACTTCATTTTTTTCAGAAGTCAGCTAACGCAAAAGTGTAAGCGAGGAAAAAGACTGCATCTGATGAAAGGGTTTCTATAAATTTTAAAGACTCACCATTGCAGCAAGATGCAATGAGCCTGAAGATGCATCTATCTTGCGCTGCCTCTATGTCAAAAGCCTCATCATCAAGAGAAGTAGTGTCCAAGCCTTCATCAGTCATCACTTCTATCCTTTTTTGAATCTGCAAGGTTTATACATCTAAAAAGTTAGCTACCAAACAGCCCTAATTAAAAGTTGGGAACCTGCCATATAAGTTAAGAGAAAAATCTGAAGCAAATCATCCAGATAATAAGAGAGAGTTATTGCTCAAAAACTGCACGAAAGGAAAAATACTTTCTTAACTGATAACAGCTTGAAAAGCCAAAAATAAATAATAAATATATAAAGGGTACAGTACCTGTGAGAGATGCAAGTTGTTCAGCATAAACTCATTTTCAAGGGCTTCTTCTCCGAGATCAGAGGATGCAAGAGGAAAGGACAGGTTTAGCAGAGTAAGAACCGGTTTAGGGTGCACCTGAACAGGAGAGAATGGCCATAAAGCACTGGTTTAAACACAAAAAGCAGAAGTGGAGATGATGAGCTATTACCTGTGGGAATGAATCTGGATTTTTACAAACAATACAGAACAACTTGCTCGCATTCAACCCAACCACCCAATAGTTTTCACCAGACTTCCTCTCTTTGATTGCACTGCAAAGAAACAATGCACATTTATTACATGCATATTGCAAAATTTAAAGCAGTAATATGCAGTATTAATTAAGAGAATTGTTCTGTATCCTTAAAAGAAGAATATTAAACCTGAAAAGAGGAAGCCAATTGCCACCATATTGGCTTGTAAAAACCCGTAGCACACCCTGCATATTTTTTCAAGATTCAATATCCAAAAGAAATGCAGTAATTATGATAACTTGAAAACAGAGTTCAGGATACCTTAGAATCATAAGAGCTTAACTGGCCTTCTTCAGTAAACCCAAACCATGTTAGGTATGAACCAGGAGTTAGGGGAAGACGACCTTTGAAGGGTTGGGTCCCTTTAGATATGTTGAATATTCTAAACTCTAGCATCTGCATGTTTAAATACAAAGAATCTTATCATATGAAGTACTGAGCTCAGAAAAAGCTTCTAACTAATTTGCCAAAAATTTCTGGTCACCAAGGTTGTTGGATCGATTTGGTATCACTATGTTGATACTAGGAGCGTTATTGAGTTATGTAGCAAGTAATAGAACCTATAGCAATAGTAACACACCTGCTCATTAGATGGAAGACAATCAGAAACATGGGTAACAATTGCTAGCTCATCTTTGAAGCCTGCTGCAGTCACCACGGGCCCATTAAGTGAGAGAATATGTTTCTGCAATAAAGTTCATTAGAAAAAAAATGAGCATAGGCATTAAACCAAAACCCTCAGTTATGAAGACAATTTATAACTAGCTTTCTGATTAAAAACCATCGCCTAAACAACGAAACATGTACTGGTTGCCACCATCTCTTTTCTGCTTCTTTCATTTGACTTATTCATCTATTAGCTAGTCTTAGCAATTACAATCCAACACAAATTTTGCACAAGAGTTTCCATCCATTATTATGGTTAGATATCAACACAAACTGGTAAAATCTATGAGCTACCATAAATTTGATAAACACAACAAGCTACATGCTCTGAAATGTTTGGTATAGAATGAATCAAAATCTGTTTAATCATTGTCCGCATCAAGTTTTGCAATCACTCTTTGACTCTTTTCTGCTCCCTGAAAATGGGCAAAACTAAGAATTGGGAAAGGGGAAAGAAATTACTTAAACCTCCCTTTTATTTTCTTCAAAACATTTGTTGTTATTCACAAAGCTTTTTAAGCGAAACTTAAACCACCCAACCAGTTAAGTATTACCACTAGTGGCCTCACTTATTCAAACGGACCCTTTCTATTTGTTAGATTATAGATGACTTACTTCATTTGAGCTATCTCCGATGTGCAAATATAAACTAATAATGAAATGATGATTTCCAAGAAATTACCATCCCTATAATGGAAATTCGAGACGCTATAACAAGTTGAATCATCTTAACACGACAATCATATTATAAAGCATTAAATAAATAGTGTTAAGTAAACAAACCTGCAAACCACCATCCATGTAGATGCGAAGAAAATTAAGACTCGTAACTGCAGCTACCCAAGTGCCACCAAGTGCAATTGCTTTTACTTCTTCACCTTCAAATCGCATGTACCACTGAGTTCACAATATGTACAGAAAGTCATCATGTTGTGAAACTTCACATCAAATGCACTGATGTGAACATATACAAAGATAAGAACATGCATATCTAAACTAACACATAAAAGCAAAGCATGAAAACAGATTGTTTTGAGAAGGTAACTGCCCTAACCTCACTGTTATTTGCCCAGCTGCTGAATGGTCGATACATTAGGGTACTCATGTTCTTCTCTCCCTTGCATGGATTTGCAAAAACACTTCCATTTTCATTGAGTGAAGCCATTGTGAAACCATAATGATCAGTCATTGGTGGAACTCGTGGACCTGTGCTAGTATCATGAAAATCTATCTGCATCAAACATGCATATAATATCAGCACATAACAGAAGAAGAGACGTGCATTTCTTTCACGACTTGCAAACTTCAATTTGTAATAAAACCACAAAACTAATGCCTAATTATACATCCACAAACCACTTCTCACACAAAAGAAAAGAAAGGACATGGTGAAGGAAGCATTGAATTAAAAGGCAGGAAGAAATACCTCTATATGGGAATATTCGTCATGTTTGATTGTAGTTATACTTCCAAGCATATTGTAGCACAAGAAATTCCTTTTTCCAGGCAGTGGTGGAGTAGAACCTGGCTGAAAAGCCTCCTGCATTTTTGGCCTATATGTCATCATGCTTCTTGATCCATCTCTTTCTTTATCTGAACTTTCCTTGTTAATACGATGCACTTTTTTCCGGGATTCAGTTTTTGTACACGAGCTTAACTCATTATAAACATCTTCATGCTGATCATCATCAATTACAGGCTGTTTCCGCAATCTTTTTCTGCTAGGAGGTTCAGACTCACCATGGCTATCCTCACCAAGATCACTTAAACTACCTGACATGCTAAGCTCCTGATCCTCCTCATCCTCCTCATCAAAAAAGAGTAGCCCATTACTGTTCTTTGATCGAGAGCTAGGAATGTCTTCTGTAGGAGACTTCATTGAGGAAGGAACAACTGATTCCCACACTCCATACTTTCCCATGACATCAATGACAGCTAGTGCATTTCCAACAGGCTTCCATGCCATACAACATATTCTGTCAT